GTTTCCGATGGATTTTTTTAATTCAGTTTGAATTAAATCTCACAAGGAAACCTTTCGAAGTAATTCACCACTTTTGAGTTGATATTTTGGGCATATATAGGGAACACCTCGACTATAATAACTCTAAAAGGATTGGGATCCATGGCCTTCCTGTCTTGAGATATTGAATTTTCAAGTTCCTGGATAATACAGTGATTTTGACCATGTATCATTATATCATAAAACAAACGAAAACGTACTATAAGCTAAAACTTTTCTGATGAATATATTTCAGCAATGTGGTCTAAACCAATCTAACGAATTATTTTCGAACTTATGGTGCCGCGTAGATAAATACTAAGTAGAGTGTGGGTGATGGTGAGAAGAAATCTTAGCACATCGCCAACACCCAGTCTCTCATATAAAAATTTACTATTGTTTAATAAAGCTTAATGATAAAGTATTTTGTCATAAAAAATTACACAATTTTTTAAATCCGTGGCTCTTGATAAATTCGACTCAATTTCAAACAAGCATATTATGGCATTTTCATTTGACAGTGATCAAAATCTTTACAAACACTTGAATCTCGTAGTAAGTAATTGAAAATGACTTATAAGTAAAACACTAATTTTTTTTTTATTGAATTCAACGTGCAACTGTTGTTGAACAAGATCTTTGTCAATTAATCGAACAATTGAAATTTTTCCAATAGTAGTTTTTCTTTTAAAATATCAAGATTTCATCTTTTAATATAATTTTGTAGTTGTTATTCTAAAATGATTGTACTTCAAACATGAATATATTAAAAAATAATTTGTTCTCATTTGATATTAAAAAAAAATATTTTCTATATAATCGTTTTCTAATGCAATTGACACTTTCTGAGGACGAGATTAATCTTAAAAACAAATGAAATATTCTGAAACTCTCAAATAATCTACTCTTTTGTCATAGAATGCATGAGAACTTTATGTATATAGTAGTGTTATATTATATTTTCAATAACACATCTATTGTCTCAGCTAGCATGCAAGTTATAACTGTATCATATGAGATATATGAAACCCGATTATGAGTTAAATCAAATCTAAATATAACGTTATATACATATTACGATTTTAAAACTTTTGGAGATATCGTTTCGACTATTAAAAATATGATTATATCCACTGCATAGAGCTCAATGAGTTAAACTTGAAACTAGAATAGGAACTTAAGAATACATTCCTGGATGAATCACCAACGATATAACTCAAATCAGCTATTAACTTTACCGATGTATATTTTTTCATGCGAATACACATCATGTATTATTCTTTCTTTTATCGACTATGCACGTGTTTACAAGGTGAATAATGGTTTTCTCTATTATTCTCGCTATTGCTCTCATTCATTCATCCATTTTTCAAAACGACAAAGTATGTCATCAACTGTAGCACACGATTTAGAGAACAAAATTGTCGACTGACTCAATAAGCATGAAAACAAAATTGAGCTTCAAATTTCTGAAGGTTCACTTCATCAACTTACACCAACGATTTACACGTATTCAAGTCCTGGAACATCTATAAGTATTGGCTTCAAAAACCCACTTCAGCAAGACACGGTTAACCTTGAAGAATTACAACGAAATTTCAACTACGTTGCACTCGATAAGCTTCCATTATTCGGTTTAGATGTTCCATCAAACTGGGAAGTTTATCCACAAACACCCGTATCATCTTTTGACGAAGGTGTTCATATCAGTGCATATGAAAATGGTCGATTACGTATGATTATATCTACATGTTTCTTTGCCATCTATGGTCGTCAAATGCAGAAACATCCTATTATGGACAAAGCAGCAGATGAAGGCACGTATGTGCAAGTGCGACGAGATATTAAAGGCATCATCAAACTGGATCTGCCAATTGTTATCGAATAGAAATTGCACCTTTTATTATTTCTTGCTTAGACATATGTCTTTTATAGTTAAACAAATTGCAGTTTCTTCATTAATAAAGCTATTTAGAGTCTTGGAATCTAACTAATAAAAAAAAACATGTCACTATTCTTGAAAATTGTGTTAATAAGACACAGATATCTGTTCAGTTGTACTCTGAAAGCCAAAAGTGTTCAAATTATGGGGTATAAATACTTTCATACAAATTCTTCTCATGTCTATGAAGCTTGAGTGCACTTGAGATTTATGTTAAAGAGAATGCAACAGTTTTACTTCAGAAATAATGCTTGCACTGACTATAAATTCTATCGTTCCTCGGTTAAATTTGATGACTGTGCTGATACTTCCTCAATACTTGAAATACTTTCTACTGCCAGCCTTTGAACTACTCTTCAAATATGTTTAATTTTCAGTGCAACTGTTTTTACCGATTCGATGTATGATTGTATTTTTTTATTTTCTTATTAACACGTGGAAATCTTTTTATAACTGTATAGGATTGGTTGTTATTTCTACATGAAGTGTTTTATTTGCTAAGCATACAGAGGAAAATGAGACAAATTTAACTAACTTATCATTACTGTCCATCGACGATAAGCTGATGCGAAGCTGAAGGAAAAAAACAGGGATGTAAGAAAAGATCATCAATACTCGAAGCAAGACCAAAGGAAAGTTTTCGATACAACAGTCAATGAATAGACTCACTGGCAAGACCAATGTCTATGGACTCATTAGCACACAATTGATGTTCGATTAGCAACATTTGTTTATCGAAGTAGTACCGTCTATTTTATACAATATTTGTGTTTAAAATAACAATGGACAAGTCAAGTCATTTTTGATTTATTTTGACTCGACAAAATTACAATTCAAGTCAGACAATTTTTTACTACTAAGATGTGTATTAAATTCATACATATTTCTTTCGATGAATTTTGACATGATTGCTAAGTTTTGTCTAAAATTCGAATTGAATTAGTCCTTATTTTTCTATTTTCATCCTATTCTGACTCTTCTACATCAAAAATACGATCGCCCTATTGATTGCCACCTACAATAAATCCTTTTGTTGAATGAGAACCCAAAATCTGCAATATGTAGACTAAATATTTAGCATCTGCAGACTTACAGAATCACATAAGCACTGATGTTACTTACGCAGCATTTTCTGTTGCTCGAGATACATATATAGTAATCTTTCGCTTACTCTCCACCAGTTTCTGGGATCTGAGGCAAGGCGAAGAATCGCAAAAAAACTGAATTTAAGTTTTCATTCTCTATTATTTTCTTCAAAAATTGAATATTTAATTAAAAAAAAAATGATGCTATCTCGAAAAATGTTACTTATTAGAAAGCGGTTATGATTATATTTGATTGCTAAACGTTATTTAACAAACAAAGTTTCATAGCATGTACCAAAATGACAAATACACAGAGAAAAGATTTCAAGAAAAAAGGTCAAATATTTAGAAAGTTTATCAATAAAAAATAACAAATGAAAATAAGAGGTTTTTGCTTGTCATTGATGGTAATGTATGCAACATCATTCTTAGACTAGCATTGTCATTTAAATATGAGAATATTAAAATCTGTTAGTACATTTCACCCTTTATATATTTATCATAAAGACTCGATTGAATGAGACAAACAAAAGAAACAATGGATTGTTGGAATATATATTTTATTATTGTTGTTACAACATTCATAGCTTTTATTGATTTGACTCGTGGATATGAAAACGTCGATGCGAAAATTTGGTTTTATGAAATAGGTAATGCATGTAATACTCATCGAAGAATACTATCCAGACCAACAAATTATACTGGAAAATCATGAAAACTTGTGTTTAATACTTCAAAATCATTAATGTCTATTCCGGCAATGGCAATTGGTATTAACGGTGATATTTATTTATTTACTAGTGATGATCCAATCAATTCACGTTAGTATGATTCGTTTCTTTTTAATTAGATATTATTCTTGAGATTGAATCTTGTTATTCATAGATTTCTAGAAACGTTTCTAAAATCTATTAAACAAAAAACGTTCATTGATGACAATAGTGAAATTGAATATTTTTTATTTTTTTGTCCAGCTGAATATCTCGTATGTGGTAACGACGAATGGATTCATTCGTTGGAAATTATATCTTAAACGAGATAAAGAAATGGATCATGTTGGTATTACAAATATTGTTTCGAATATTGAACGAACATTATTCTATGGCATATCATGGTTTAAAGATGAAAACTATTTAAATAAAATATGTCATATATCGAATCTTGAAACAAATAATCCAATTGAAGAATGTGTTTCCAACACATATTTTTTTTTCAAACATTTCAAGGTTCTTTATCAATCGAATATTCATCTACTTATTTAATAAGTACACTTTATGGAGAAGCATTAGCTATTATTAATAGAACTAGTTTACAAATTGAATTCAATGGTCCATTCAATCTTGCAGCTATAGTTAATTCTCATTATAATAGTGATGAGACAGGAATTTATTGGTTTGGAAATGATGATCATTTACGAAAAGTAAATTTTAATGGTGTCAATTTATTAGATGTTGATATTAATAGTGGTGCAAATCAATATTATGCTTTTCATAGAAAACAAAATACTATTGTAAGAGTATGGCAAAAATTATTTATTATCTTCTGCTCCTTATATTCTTTCACAATGGAGTGTTGATTCAAAAATTGATTTTCATTTAGTTTGGCAATGGAATGAACCATATGAAAGTCAAACATCATCTACTCATCCAGTTATTGATGATAAAACAGGTATTATCTATATTAGTATTCTTCCATATATTTATGCAATTAATTCTCATGGAAATACTCTAGGGAAAGCTCAAATAACATCTCAAGATGAAATAAATAAATATGATCTTGTTACATCTTGTGTTTCGTTGAATAGTGAAACAAGTATTGTTTATGTACTTATTTCAACATTTCGTCAATATAATGAACGTGTACCGACCATTCTTTTTGTTATATACAAGTACGAATAACAATGGGTGATGTTTTATCTAGAATAAACATTGAAGTTCATTCTAAATCAACTATTTTTATTCAATGTCTAATGCTTGTAGAAAATCAAATGATTTATCTTCCTTGGTACTTTGGAAGTGCTACTGATGTTTTACCATTAAATGTTATTGGAATTCCTCAAATTGCTGCTTAATTTTACTTATATCAAAAATAGTTTCTTAATATTTTTCCTATTGTAAGAATATTCATTCAATTAATATAAAACAGATTGAATTGAGAGATATTATTAGTTTAATTTAAAAAAAAATAAAACTTCATTTTGAAGCATACTCTTTTAGAATATATAGCATTTGTCTCTATCTTAGCAACATATTGTTTAATTTTAGTTCATTTTATGCTAATGTAATTTCTCTAAACGTCAAATTTCAATGATCATAACGATTTCTGTTTACTTGAACTTGAACTTTATACATTCCTAATGATATTGCAATTTGATAGAACAGAAAAGTCAGCTTAAACAAATTTGTGTTTTGAATTTTCTATCAATATTGATATATTTGATATTGGATTATTTATGTAAAAGATTATGAAAACATTTTACCTTGTGCCGCTCTAATATCATGAAAAATGAGAAGATTTTATTGCCAATATTTTTAATATGCTATTTGAAAGAAAGAGAGAATATTTTTGTGACATATTCGAATAAAGATTCACCTATTCATCAATATTTTTTTTTGTTTTCTTTTTGCAATTGATTTAGTTTATTTTGTGTGACATAGACTCAATAATAGTTAATAAAACACGCATCGTATAGGAAAAGAGAATAAGATTCATTCTACAAAATTCGTCAGAATTCTATATTGAAAATCAAAGTGAAAAAAAGAACTACATTTTATTAAAAAATATATACACTTCTCTCATACTGTACAAATATTGATTGCAGACATCTTTTTCTTACTTAAAGAATAAAAATATTTATATTTTAAAACGAATGTGCTTTCTTTTGGTAGATGTCAATTTATGAACTTTCTTACAATACACATATTTTATTCTGTTTTGTGACTGTTTGATAATGAAATTATTTTATCGATTTCTCGAATACAATCAAAAAAAGAAAACAATGAAAAACCTTGATTTGAACATGGACTACACTGATCAGATACATCCATCGAACATGAGTTGGTATTGCTATATTTGTTTATGTTAGAACTTGTTTGATGTTATTGATAGTAATCTGATGATCAATAGACATTTGAAATGATTTGTCTAACAAGAATCGAATCTGAAATGAATGGCAATACACTAAATCAAGTGTCAAACACAAACGACTATATGAACTATTACATTTCAAGTAATAATTTTAAAAGGAGTTGTGTTTATTTTGTTGCTACCATAATATCGACATTCAACAGGAATAATACCTATAATCATCTTACTTTCGATTTATTCTTTTCGTTAGCATACTATATATTACAAAAAATTTTTATTATTATTTAAGAATGATGACATTTTTTTTAATAAATTGATTTTGTTTTTTCTGACTCTACTTGACATACAGTTATTTCTAAATGATAAATATGATATCCTTTCGATCTAAAGATTTTTTGTTTCATCATCCTCTTATTTGTAGGAAGATGATTTTCTACAATGTCGTAGATTGTTCGAATAATAAAATTAAAAAATAAAGTATCTTTAATCATTTAAAAATTTGTTTGTTTTAATTGTTTGTATTAACTTTGAAAAACAATTCGATGTAACAATAATAGAATTTTCAATAGCAATAAGAAGCGTTGGAACAATAGAACGAGTATATTTTTGCGTCACATTTATTATTGATCAATAATTAATTAAATAATAAAAAACACGTATACATAGCAATATTATCAACCTTAATTCCGACAATTATACTTATGAATTGTAATGTTTCAATATTAAATATATACGGAAGATATAGAACAAGATTTGATTTATATCAATCATTGTTTGACGAATTGGTTCAAGTATTTTCTTTAATTTGTTCTTCTTCTATTTGTTTTTTTTTTCTTTCAAAGATAATTTTTTCATCAAAATCTTTTCGATAACAAATAATTTCTAAGTTTAACAGTTGATATTGGATCAAATGAAATAATATCATTTATTGTTTCATATTGATTTGTATATGATTCAATTATAAATTCTAGAAATTATTTTCTACTAAGAGATATTGAGAAAATCCAAGAAAACCAAGTATTTCAACAAGTAATAAAAATGATATAAGCTATCCAATTAGACTAATTAATAATAGGATGGGTATGAGTGTGAATATGGACGATATTAGGAACTGGTTCTTACAGTTTTTCTAGAACTTTTCATGGCGAATCTTCTGAAACAAATCAAGATTTTATCACTTGTCTGCGTAGAGATATTCACAAAATAAACTATGCTGCAAACATTTTGAGACACTCGGTATTTCACAGTGTTTAATGTTGTAGCTATAACACAATCATTTCTCAATGAAATTCAAAATGTTTTTTTTTTTACAATAATGATCAGCAAAAAAAGTTCTCAAAGTCTAATGAAATGAAAAGTTTTCTGAATGCTTTGTTTTTGTTGTGATTGACTATCCATCGGAGTATCTTACAACAATATCATTTTGTAGTTTTTTATGTCATTTTTTTTAGTATTGAAATTTGTTTGTTGTTATTGTATATTATATTCAAGAGCTTTTCATATTAAACAGATATATATTGATGGATAGTATTTGATCACTACTGTACAGTCATATAGACGAATTGAATTCATATTTTGTAGTTTGAATATATAGCTCAAAAACAAAAAAAGTGACACCAGAGTTTTGATCTGCACTATATAACATATAACGCATTTCAAAACAAAAATTATTTGATTTTGTTCTACTGCCTTTTACTTTTCGATATCGTCCGAGGTATACATATGCTTGGATGTTATGTTGTTTGCAAAATTCACTGTGCGCAAATCATTCAAGCAAATCATTTCGTGCACAACATGTGCATCTTGTGTGGACATGATTGCAATAGAATGTGTAGCAAAAAAAATTAAAAAAAAAACGAAATAACCGAGCAAATCAGCACAAAATAAAAAATGTATAAAGTTGGCCTACTGAAAAGGTAAAAAAATAATCATTCACAAAAATAAGTGAAGTGTTACATACATACTACAAAGTCAAATCAGCAGCAACTCGATAGAAATTTTATTGTGTTCGTTATGGTGAGTCACTTTTATTGAAACAGATATGAAATCGACTCTCAAGTGCGAATTTTATTTTGGATGATCGATTGATAAATCTTTTTACTTCATGGTCTCTTTGATTGACTTTTCTGTCTCCATCTCACTTTTGCATACTTTTTTTTTCACTTATTCTTAACTCATGGACGATTTTTTTGATAATGCATACTTAGTTTGTTTATTTGTTTTTGTTAATGTGATGCATCATATCCAGTTAATCAAGAGACGAACGTGAAACTATCAGTATTAAGTAACTAAAATTTTCATGATAGTAGGTATTAACATGCTATCAACATAATAGTAAAATCTTCATGTCGGTGTGGATAAAAGTGAAAAGCTTCACTTCTTCCAGCACTGTTTCAAAGTCAACCTACAATGCTTCGAGCCACACAGTGAGCTCTAAGGGACAGGGTGTGGTTGTTGATCTTCTTTCGCCCACATTCACACTCACGTCCACCCATCCACACCACATCTACACTCACAACTCTTTAACTTTTAAAACCGGTCAAAGTTCAGTGGTTCATTGCCAAAGTTGCATAGATTTTTTGGGAGGCACTAAAGCTGGCCTATTTGGCTCAGTTTTGACAATTTCGTCGATTTTGATGCACGAAAGGTATGAACCTGGAAGTTTTCAGCTGACGAATTTCCAGTGTTTGTCAAAGTCTCAACTCTGAATGTTGGTCTAATACTTTCTTATAGTAGAATGAGAGCTTTGGATCAATAGGAATAAATCGATTATGCTTCTGAAAAGTTAGTCAACTATTAAAAGTTGAAATCGGTCTACAATAACGATTTTTCATCTCGAAATTTCTAGTGCACTTTTTTGAACTACTTTTAATTACTCTGATACAATGTCGATAGCTATTAGTTTACAGCTCATAATTTCATTACAAAATGTCAGAAAAAGTTTCATTTTATTGTCGAGGTCTTGCTAAGCACTAATACCATGCAGTTATGAAAGTATTTAGATATTAAGACATCTTAAAATAGGAAGTCTAATATAAAAACTCTACATTTTAGCTTACCTTACCTTTCTGTGTGCAATAGTGTCTTTCTCTGAATTGAGATATTATTTCGTTGTATTAAATAATTCTTTTCAATAAGAATAGATCGAACTTATTCATTGTAAGGGAATCATTTCATTATTGGAAATAGTCGGTCAAAGCGTAGTATAGGTTCTATTCAAGATTACCTGTTGTAAGTAATTAGCTAAAACGTTTTGAAATAAATCTTTGTCCATTCTTAATCGTAGCATACATGAAACGTGACAGATCAAAATAGGAGCTATTAATATTAGAAACGTCAAGAGTGATATAAGTTTTTGCATTGTATATCTGTCTAGAATTCAAGTAATATACTATTTATCGAAAGAACTGATTGATTAATTAGTACATTAAACGCACTGATTTTCACCAGTTAATTCAAGAATTTTAATTTTTATCTGTACCAGGTACACTTTGGTATTAACAGATGTTCTGCTGTTAGCATCTGACTGATTTGGAAGACTTTTCGTGTGAATAATGTTAACAGTATATTATTATAAATATGCCATACATTTGTCGAAGACCTTACTTCGAATTTCTCTGAACAATCCTATCTCTGAAGTGAACTCAATCAAGACGTTATATGTTTGTATACATATTAATTATATTAAGAAATACGTCAGTGAGTGTATGCAGGAGAAAAATGTGCGCTTCTTTGATACAACAATTCATTCGGAAAAATTAAGTTTTCGGATGATTTTTCAATAGTTGATTAAACAGTTTTAATCGAATACTATATTCTCTTTGTGTTGATTTTCTCTAGTTTTTTTTTCTACAAAAAGAAAACATAAGAAGACCTTGAAAACAACACTTAATTCTAGAATTTGCAAAAACCAAGCCAGAACACGTGAAAATCCATCGGATTCTGTCGTTTCCTGCCATACACCCTTGACCTGAGCAGCTATTTGATAAAATGTATATGTCTAAAAGAATGAAAAAGGAAATAATAACGTCATCCATTTGTATATCTTCATAAGCATAACAGGAAGAATGTTGTTCTTTTAAAAGGATATATATACACAACCAACAATTCCTTCTCTATCTGAAAAAGAAACAATGTCTAGTTCATTTTAGGTAATTTGGCATGATGAGTACACTTACAAAAGCTGATATACCAAATTTTTGTTTCGATGTTAATAGTGTTAGTAAGCGAGCTTCAACAAAGCTTGTGTATCAAACAATTTCTATTAGTGGCCAGTCAGGCACAAATGGAGATTTTGGTAGGGATGGTACATTCGGGTTTCCTGGGGATGATGGTTCAACAGGCGAAAATGGTGGTTCAGGTAATGATGGTGAGAATGCCTCTGCTGGTGAGCCAGGGCAATCTGGTACAGATTCTCGACATGCATTGGTCCGATTAAACGGAACAGTTGAAAACTTAAATATGCAATTAAAAATATTTCAAACATTATATAGTTCATCAGAACAGTTCGCTGGTATTAACTGGAATCTCGCTCATTCCCTTCATGATCTCAACTATGATTTTCAATTAGCAAAATCGAAGGGAATCATTCTTGTGCGGGCTGTAGGAGGTAATGGTGGTGATGGAGGATATGGAGGCTATGGAGGTCCGGGAGGCTCTGGAGGCCATGGTGGTCGTGGTCGTCATGGGACAAATGGGTCCAATGCTTACAATCAAGGTGCTTCTGGTGGAAGCGGAGGCCCTGGTGGAGCGGGAGGGAACGGCGGTTGTGGAGGTAATGGCGGGGATGGTGGATCCGGAGGAGATGGAGGAAACGCAGGTGCTGGTGGTCATGTCCAGGTTCGAAGTGCAGATCCTCGATTATTTATGTTAATTGAACTCGACTGTCGAGCAGGAACCAAAGGTAAAGGCGGTTATGGTGGAAAAGGTGGCGACTGTGGCCTCGGTGGTTCAGGTGGAGATGGTGGCATCGGTGGTTATGGCGGCCTAGGTGAATCAGGTGGTGCTCATGGTTCACAGGGTGCACGTGGTGCTAACGGTATGCATGGCAGTCATGGTAGAGTAGGTAGGAATGGTTTGGCTGGAATCGATGGTCGTGCTACAAGCGATGGTTCAATTCAATATGCTGTAGTGGATATCGATGATAATGTTATTGAAACAGCACCTGATAAATATCATGCTAGTGTTATTAGTTACACTGTTACTGACGAAAATAATGATGAAATCTACGAACCAGACTCAGATTTTTTTATTACAAGCGTTAAATGGACAAATAATGGTGCAATGACCTTGCCGAGCGGATCTATTTTATCATTTCCATCTACAAAATGTGTTTCCAGTGACATTAATGATTTTAGTGTATTGATGGGCGCTAATATCAACCAAATATGCCTTGATTCTCATCAATTTAAATGCCATCTGAATGCCGCATCGACTTTTTCAATCAATCAACCATATATTCAACCCGTAACAATAGCATCAGAAATTAATCTATTAGATCGCTTATTTAGTGGTAGTCAAGTTTCAACTACTTTAACGTGTCAATATCCGATTCAAATAACAAATATTCAGATCCCAACTTTTCTAGGTCCCAATGAGCGAAGCATCATAACAGTAAATTTTACTAATATTTCTACACGGTCATACGGTACATGCTCAGATTCAGCTGGTTCAATAGAATTTATATTCTCTGCTCATTCTTTGATAAAAATAGTACCTGCAACTGAAGAATATTTGTATCAAATAACGCCCGATGGACAAGGTCACTATAAAATCAATGAAGAAATGTCACCTAAATCTACAAAGCATATTTATTTTGAGTTTAGTTTAGATGCCGATGCTTCTTATCAACTTTATGAAAGTTTATTTTGGAGTATTGATCTACTATTACGTGATACATTAATTGAAAAGCATACAAATAAAATTCGGATTATACCAGAATTTAACCCAAATGTTCATACCGACGTACTTCTCGTTACGTATTCTCAAATGGATCGAGTTGAATATCTTGCATATCAGAAATTATTTCAATTATTTAAATATTCAAGTCAAATGTGGGATATTGAAAGATATGAAGCATTTCATCATCCAGAGATACAATGGCTGAATACAACAAATTTGATTATTTTTATTTATTCAAATCCTAAATCAACATTGAATATGATCCAATCTCAATTATTTTTACAGCATATGAATTCTTCCGAGAATGCTGGTTTTATTTGTATCGGTACCTGTCTATCCGATGAATTTGATTTTGCTCTATTCGATTATAATAATTTACAATTTATTGATAATAAAGAGAAAACCAAATGTGAAGCTTCGAATTATGTTTGGTCAGGTTTTGGATTCAGACACCCTACTGCCAAGAAATTGAATGTGATGGCCAACAAACTTAGAACAGAATATGAAAAACAAGAAGATAATAAGTTTTTATATCAAGTAGTCTATGACGATACAAAAGATTCGCGTTCGCGACATTGTTTGACCGTTGTTTACGGTAAAAAATATGTGTATAAATCCACTTTAGACTTCCAAGTCGGTAATCGATTAATTTTAGTCAATAGTGAATCTCCTTTGTTAGCCAATACCCATTTACCATTCAAATTGCAAGCTCAATTGAACACAAATCAACAGAATGAAGTTGTCCCTTCTCGTGAATATGACATTGGTATTAATGACATGGTTAAGACATTACAAATTGACGAAAATATCATTCAAGATGAAATTCAACTAAATTCACAATTTGGGAGATTATTATGCGCGATATTATTTTATCAAGGATTTGAAAAATCTCTTATGATGATCAATCATAAATGTGAATTAACAAGGTGCATATTCGTATCAGATTCAAGTAAATTCAACTTTAATCAGATTGTAGTCAGTCTGGCTATGTCGATTATTGAACGAGAATACAATCGTGGATCTTTAGAATTTCCCTCATTAACACTAATAGTGGATCAAGCAGCTAATGCGATTGGGAAACTATATAATATTGCTAGAACAACAGATCATGTAGCCGATCAAAATAATTGGTTATATTTGCTAATTCAATCATTATATGAATACATTGACAGTCAATTTTTCATCTCATTTCCTTGGTATGGTTGTACAAATAAAGCAAAGCAACGGCGAAAATTACAAGAAATTGTCAGTGATTTGGTTTCATTATCAATTCATGAAATTCCGAGAAACAAAGAACTTTATCAAACTGTACAAATGATGAGACTACAAGAATTAGCAAAGTTACAATTTCCAGCAGCTGATAAAAGAGAAAATTGTGTTCGACGAATAATTGAAATTCAAGCGTGGAAAGAGAAACAAAAAATTAAGGAAACAAATCTATCAGCTCCGCTTGAAAAATATTGAAAAATCCAATAATTTAATCTCATTCAGGAAACAGTTAACTAATTAACATAAGTACGATAGTTAATAGCAAAAGGTCAAAAATACATTTTTAAAGTTTGCTATTAAATAACTAAAATGTAACCATCTGATAACAGCCTTCGTTACTTCTTGTAATTACTTAGGCTGAAAAACTAAGCAATCGGTATTTTCCATGAAGACGTGGGTAGAGTTTATGGTGGGGTGGGGTGGGGTGAATTGGATGCGACTATGGCTATGGATGAACACAGAAGTGGCTCTATCGAAATTCTTAAATGCTTCCTTACTAGATTCTTCACAAATCCGTTAAGAATCCTATCAAGATTCGTCGATTTTTTCTGAAAAAACGGCTGAATCCTGAAAAAAAAAATATAGTCACGAAATTACAGGACCCTAGGATAATTCAAGCCAAAATTTCTCTGAGATCTTGATAAGTTTTTGTTCATTTTTTTCCCTGACTGTTTCAGAATTGCGAGGCATCTTGTTAGAAAAATTTCCCAGGATTCGTCAAAGATATTATCTGATTTCACTAAATTTTTATCTAGGATGTGGGTGTGGATGGTGTTGTTATCGAACTGAAGACATCTGTCCATACCCACAACCACTCCCTAATCTATTGTATAATACAATGCAAAGACCTCGTTCGTGGAAAAACAACGCTAACATTATATACGAGAAAACGTGATTCAGCTGATAGTAGTATCAGTAGTGTTTGATTAGTATTTTTTTAAAATTTTTCCTTCTTTTATTATACAGTTTATATAATCCGTCGTAAAAAATTGAAAAAAGAGAAATATATTTAAGTAGAAAGCGAAAGAATTTGATCTAAATGATGTTTTCAGTAAATCGCTGAAATTCTATTTGTTTTAATTATCCATCACAGTTGATATCAGTAGTGGTAGTTAGATGTTCGCTGTCTGAACTCTTCTTTATTTCAAAAAATCACGGTTATATATATATATATGTGAATGCACTGAGAAAGAAAACGAGATGGAAAATATTAGTTACATCTCAAGAAAAGAGAGCATATATGAAATACACCATGAGCGCAAAGGAAAGAAAAGAATACATATCAAAACTTCGTCTATGTACGAAAGCAGCAAAGAAATAAAGGGAAGGAGTTCATGACGCAAATGAATTACAAAATAATTCAAAATTTTTATATTATATATACATACTTATAGAAGTACATATATAATTATAATAAGTTTATTAATATCTACCAGGATCTACCAGAGTCTACTAAGGTCTACCAGGGTTTCGCGGTACCCACATCGAGAGAGATGTGATGTAAGTCGTTTCGCGGCACCCACATTGAGACCCTGATAGACCCTGGTAGATATTAATAAACTTATTATAATTATAGATATACTTCTATAAATATATATATAATATAAAAATTTTGAATTATTTTGTAATTCATTTTTTTTTTGAATTACTTTGTAATTCATTTGCGTCACCCAGTGAAAGGGAGACAAGATATAATTTCTTATATCCAAACAGAAGTAATAGTAGTGTCACCATCATGAAATCCAGATTGGATTCTACTTCCACACATCAACTTCGATGTTGATGATGCATATCTTGTACTACCACGATTAAAAGTTTGCGTACCAGCACCCAGTTGATATCTTTCGCAACAAGTTCCACCTGATGATGAAAAAACTCTATTGATTTTGTCATTTGACTGATCGCAATCAATATCTCCGCGTATATTTACATGTATCGATGATGATGGTGGCGGAGGCGACTAGAATAAAAAGTTTATATATTTTCTTTTTTGTTGAAGAGGTTTGTTTTGGAAAAAATTTTTTACTATATCTTCAATAATATTAGCGTTACGAGCCTGTTGGATAAGTGTATCTGGATCTAAAAGTGATCTCCCATAATGAGCTACATAATCGGCAGGATCTCTTTTACAAGGACCAAGATGTTCAAATTTTCTGACTGTACGTGCTTCAACAGCATCATAAGTAATAATTTTATTACGTGGTTCTGGATATGGTATAGGAGGAGGAGCAGGTTCAACAATTGTACGACGTTCAGGTTGGGGTCCATAAGGAAGCCATCGTTCAATTATAATATCACCTAAATAGCAATCTGAAATTAAGAAAAACAAATGGAAACTCAAAATAATTCTTTTACGTGGTTTTTCTGGAAGAGGTGGATAACGTTCGATGACAACTGATCGTGGTGGAACAGGTATAGGAGGTAAATAACGAGTAACTGTAAAACAAAATAAACTGATCGATCTAATCTATGTAATTTAAAATTTATTTTTCTTTTTTAACTCGTTTCACTGGGAATACATGGCGGTGGTATTGGTGGTCGTTCACGTAAGATAAGTGGAGATGGTGAACTAAGAGATGATGCATGTTCGCGTATGACAAGCGGTGGAGGTGGTGGTGGTTGTGGTGGACGCACTTCTTTAATAATGAGTGGCTAGAATCATACAAAGATTAGTAGGGTTAAATTTACGAAATATTTGTTTCCTTACTCCTGGTGGTGAAAGAGCTGGTGGTTGAAGATATTTAAGATGTATTCGTTGTTCATATGTTACTGGACGGTCCGGTGCTGCTCGTCGAATAATTTGTGGATTAGGATCCTTATAAATATTATTAGGTGATCTTTCAATATATCGATTCGTTTCTTCTGAACTATTTGTAGTAATCACCGTATCATCCATCAACTCTCTAGCTACTGTTGTAGTTTCATATGAAGTATATTTATCAGTTCTATATTTGGAAATATTTTCACAACTACCTTTATATTTATTTCGATCAAATCGAGTGATGGTATTATCATTAAAATTACGTTCAGTAGTTGCTAATTCACATGATGCAGAAGGCAATTCTTCTGCATTTGAAATCCATGTACGAAGTTCATTTTTATCAATACTAAATATGTATATATGAATTTATTATTTTGATAAAAATTCTTAATTCCTACTTTCCATCTCGATTTGTATCAATTTGTTCAAATATAACTTTAGTTGCATCACGTGTTGCCATTTTTCCAAATTGACAAAATAGAAATAAATTCCTCAAATGAAAAAAGATATAATGATCATTAATTTATATATCTATCATAAAAATGTCTAATGCTAAATCAAGCATGAACGACATCCTACATAAATACAAATATCAAACACTTATGTTATAATATCAAAAATATTCTTGTTCATATTCTTTTGACTTAGTTGGTAAAAAAACAGGAGTATTAATGAAACGAAAGAAAAACATATAAATCGTTGTCGTGTCAGTCTTACAAATAGTTCTTGAAGGTTAGAATATTACCATGAGAATATCGTAAGAAAAAAAGAAGAAGAGTCATTTATCAAATCAAATAAAACAAAAATTAATTCATTTAGAGTTCAAAAAGAAGAATGTGAGATTAGAAAAGTCATTGCTTTAAGATTATTTTCTATTATTTTAAATAACGTAACTTTTGCTTATATCATATACAACTAATTAATTTAGCTTTGATTCTTTTACAAAGGCGTGTGACAACTCAAGCAAACATGTTAACGATCAAAACGGCATTTAAACACTACACTACATACAATGTTTAAAATGTTTGATTAGTCATCAAGAATGCGTTAGAATTGTTTAAGATTAATCTAATATATAAAGAAAAATGTTTGTTTGTTCTTTATCCATTTGGACCCTGTAGGAGCCAGTGTAATCAAACTTTGCATGCGATACTTTTTCGCCCAGGAAAAGGTCAAGGACTACTTTTCGATCCAAAATTTTGATCTCTAGGATACTTAGTAATCGCATTGTTGGAGCACCACAGTAGGTGTTCCATCCAAAATGCCCGCGCGTGTGACTGTTTTCTCAATAACTCGAGAACGAAAGGAGATAAAGACATGCGGTTTTCGCCATTCGACACAACAGATTCTGGAACATGAAAGTATGATAAAATGTGATTGGCCAACAAACCGACCAATCAGGTGAATTCATTGGTAAAGATTTTAGAAACCATATTGCAAAAGGATTTCCGATTGAACTTTGGCTTGAAATACGACTATTCAATAGAAAAATTTTTCCTCTATCGAACCACGCAAACCCTCAGTTATCTCGTTCTTCTATTCTGAAGGTTCAAACCATTTATCTCAAATTAGAGAAACCCACAAAACGAAAAAATCTTTCAGCATAATCCATACAGGATTAAAGTGTGAAATACAATGGAGCCGTTTTCATTGTAACGAAAAACCTGTACTACGCTGAGCATCATCCAGAAGACAAGAAGAGGTGTCAGCGGCGCAAATATCGGGGGGATCGGATATCTCGCCCCTAAATTTAGAAAATTTTTCTGTTTTTCGCTCGCGCAAAGCAAAAAATGCCTGCTTTTTCCTATGTTTTTCGGAAAAGTTTTCGTTAACCCACTCTCCGTCGAGAAAATACGTTGTGGACTCAAAAATTTCCCCTTTCTCCCTCATTTTTGAATACTAATTGCGCCCCTGAGACCTGCATATCGAGAACCTCAATTGTGGTCTGTGGGGCAGGATAGAGTTCACTTTTCTTGCTATGAACTTCAACGGGCATTTTCAATCGTGTTTCATGAAATATTAAGAAGAGCAAAAATTTTAAATTTAGAAATGTCAAAATCTTTGAATAAGTTTTAAAATAGAAAGGATTTTAAGCACATTTGGCGACTTGCAAGATCGGAAACTTATAGGAAACCATAAGGCTACTGTTTTCTAATTTTTCATAAATGATATGTTGAATTTACCCGGGCAACGCCGGGTACTTCGGCTAGTATTTTTATCAACATTTTGTTTGCATAATGAATGGACAAATGTACGACGAGTCCAACAAGGCGATACCCAAAAATGTTTTTTCGAATAACTTTATTATTGATGGACTTTTATCAATAGACTGTCCTCCTATGACAGATGACAAGATCAATTTTTTTTTCTATAGGCAATGTATTAAAGTGCTTTTCAAAGTAATTACCTTCAACCAACATACAAAAATTCAAGATTGTTTTTTTTGGTTTCATTATAATATTTCGTAATGTTCGTTTTTTAATTATTTTCTTTTCTAGACTAATTCTGATCTTTGACTTGTTCAAATCTCAAACATTCGTTTTATATAAATTTGTTTTGATGTTTCCTTGTAAAAAGAAATTAGATAATATCAAATGCTAATTCAAACAATTAAAAAAGAAACGCTGCAAACGATTATTATGGAATCAGAAAAAAAGTTGAATTTTTGTAACTCGACCAATGGTAATTACTTTAAAGAGAACTCCCAATGGTTGTCTATATAGAAATAAAAAGACGATCCGACTGCTGAAACTTTGGGAAGGTGTAAAAAATTTTCCCGCGATATTCATGTAAGAAAACCTAATGTTAAAATCAGGTTAAATTCGATTCAAAACTGATTGACAATCAATTAAAGTCATACCCTTTTAGCCGTTTTTCAATCCAACAATATCCAAAAAAAATTCATAGTTTGTTTTTTATTATTGCGATTATTTTCGATTATAGTCAATAAAAATTCATGAAAAATATCGATTATTTCTTCATGATACATAACGAATCTTTAGCTGATATTCATTGGTCTGCCTAAATTATAATCACTTTTTTTTTCTACCAAGTTTCGGTCGAAATTAATCGTAATAATTAATGAAATTATAATGTTTCCTGTTACTTTCGAGTAAATTCGATTAAAAAAACATGATTACAATCTATTTTCGATGAATTTTAAATCTATTTCAATTGTGTTTTAGCTTTAATTTTTCTACATGGATTATGTCTCTTTAAAATAATTGAAGAATTTGTGTGTGGTTTCCGCGGAGAGTACAGTTCGATTATAATTATGCTATGAACGAAACATGAAAAGTGCCACAAGAAGGACATCGAGTTGTATGAAAGAACAAGTCAATGAGCAAAAAAGGACTGTATAGAAAAATTGCTAATTGATCAAAATTAGAAGAAGCTTTCAAGTTTTTTCTGACTGATTGCTTTTATTCTTATTTGTGCAATTCATTGTACAACAAAATTTTTCAATTAAAGAGGACTTAGTTGGAAAAAAACTCGATTGCATCTCCATTTATTCAAAAAGAAAATAATATGGATTTCAATACAGTTCTCAATGATGACAACTATTTATCCAAACATATGCTTTCCAAAAATTTCAATGAACTGAAACTTCCTTAAATTAAGACTTAAATCTCCGAAATAATGCTTATGTTTATGCAAGTAGCTCTATGTTGTGGGTCCAGCATTTTCGGTAAGTTGATGAGAAATTCTGTCATCTTTTATCGTTTCATTCGAAAGACTAAACTGTCACTAAATACTATTTATGAAACTTTCTGAAAGTGTGGCAACCTTGACAAATACCCAATAAACGAAGCTCTTCAGACATGAAAGCTTCGTAGCATATCGTTCAAGCTATAAAACAGAGAACTCTCATATCAACAATGAGTTTATATGCACTACTCGGCGCAAAGTGAAAAAAATTTTAATTTTATTGTACATGACCTTGAACCAAGATCATTTATTTTCTTATCTTTAAAAAAAATCAGCGGATTCTCAGAGTTTATACTGTTCAAGATTTTTCGAATAATAACAATAATGACAATCTTCAATTATGAGGGGGAAGGCTGTTCCACTTCTGACCCTTCTTTCCTAGTCGGGCCACGACTGAGAACAAGATTGCCTTCTCATACTATGAAACAATTTCTACTTATTCTCTCGAAAAACGAAATCTAACCACATTTGTTCTATTTGCCTTTTTACTTTAAATATTCTTTTTCTTTTGAAAAAATGTCAATATGAATTTTTTCTGTCTCATATACTAGGCAATTGAAGTCTCAGATGTCATTTGCGATACCCGATCACATAACAGTAGAGTAATAAATATCCTGTCACGAAAAGATTTAATATCTATTCTTTGTATACTAAGAAACTCCAGTTTTATATTTAACGTAACTGAAAAAATGGGTTTTTTGATAAATAAATACTTACGAATTCAAATCAACTCACGAATTAGCTAGAGAAAATAGGACGAAGCAATCATTTAACAAGTTTTTAATACTTAAAATAGCGTTTGAAGAAAAACCGCGGCTATCTACGATTTTTAGATACCGTAAAAATCAGACCGTTTATTCGGTTTTTTTGAAACCGTCAGTTACTGCGGTTTTCACCAGTTTGCAAAAATCGAATAAATGATCTGATTTTCACGATTAATCTAAGCGTGTCTGAGTTAGCTGACCTGGCTCAGGATGCCGGAGCTACCTGAAGCACATGCAAAACCACGGTGAGTTGCATTTCGAGGAAGAATACAATGAGCTTTTACAAGTCCCATTAGCACAAAGTCATTTTGCAGAAAGAGATGAACTAACAAATTTGCTCCAAGTTTGTTACAAACAGTTGTACACGACATCCTCGTCGTTGTTACACATTCTATCATATTTCAATATGTACTGTAAGAAGTGTATAGAGACATTCGTGAATGGTACATGTACATCGATATCAAAAACTGCGGCTTGTTACGTAAAAAACCCAATTTTATGAACAACTATCTTTTCAAAAAGACTGATGACATAAATCGTGATTATAGCTATACTCTTGATATTTGATACTTTAAGAAACTGTAAGATTCGATAACGTGATTTTAACCGGAATCAACGCGGTTTTTTAAACTACGATGCGCAGCGATATTGATTATCACGATTATAAAAACGAAAACGCAGTTTTCTTGAGTAATACTGATGTAAGATTCGAAAAACCATCAAGAACTTCAGACATCGTGAATAATGGAAGAAAAGAATTCAAAAAAATCAAAACTTCGATTTTTTATTTCTTAAACAGGCAAATCTGAGATATGTGCAACGAGAAGTACAATCAACAGGAACATAATTAACAAAATAATATAACTAGGAATTAATCTTTCTCTACTAAATACAAACTCATTCGGAGTATGTCTATACGTTGAAGTATCTAGTCTTACTCTAGTATAAAAGAAGGCGCTTCAAAACATTTCAGAATTCAATAAATGAT